AATTTTCATAAAAATCTGCTGTCTAGTGACGATACGGATATAAATTTTAGATAATTCGACGCACTAACTTATTCCTTACTATTTACAATTCTACTTCCACACCAGCGAAGGGATTTGAAAATCAGAATAAAAAATACACGAATTCTACGAAGCAAATAACCAGTACAATTCCAATCACGTACCTCAAATAAAAATACTCATGGAAATGATGGAAACGCAAGTAATATCCTCCGGTTGATCAGTCATCTCTGATTCTCTTCTGGAATATCTGTAATTCAACCTTAAATAATTGCTCCAAGGTAGAAAGTTAATTTTCCATCTATTTCCTTTGGTAATAATTCTTCCAGCGTCTGCGAAGTATTTTTCACGTGAAACGAGAAGAAGATACGCGGAACAGATTGACGAAGGCCGTCGTGATCGATCATTAGACGCCGTCGTGTCGACGGTTCTTGCATCGAAAACGACGTTCCTTTGCAAACGAGCGTCGGCGTCGCCCCGTCACGGAACCGAATTATGTAATTAGATTTCCAGAGGAGAGGGCGTTGATTAGAATCTTTGTTCGACGCGCGAACGAGTCGAGCATTATTGCAACATCGCCAGCGGCTTGTCGCGGATCGTGCACGTGAATTTCCTGTTTTTTAATCAAGAGCGCACGAAAATAGCACCACCGGCAGAGAAGACTTAATCAGCCTGTCTAACGTGAGTGGATGAAAGGAGGTTCTATCTGATTTCAATAGAACGACGCGCTGGGATGGGGCTTCGGTAAGGTCACCGGCAAGACCTTGCCTATACTGAATTACGCGATCGTCAATTTCACGTCATGGATATATCCTACACACACACACACACACACACACACACACACACACACACACACACGGACTAAATAATATTGACTCATCGAAAAGTAACACCTTGTTTTATATAACCGGCATTATATACTTTCCCTTTGACCGACGCGCGTAACGCGATTAGAGCAGCGATAGAGATGCGTGGCACGGTCTTTTATAAAGCATGCAGGGTATCCAATTTTCATCTACAAATGCGAATTGTTAATAACCAACGCGTTTTATAAAAGATTTGATGATTCTCTGTCGTACATTTCTTCCGTAGATAGAACGGAGCGTAATTTTTTTAATTCTGTTTGACGAATCACTTGAGAGATATTTCAATTTTAATAATCATTTGTTACATCCGTGAGTTGCCGGAAAATAAATACCCCCTTTATACCTGTTAAATTATCATTTCAAATTATTTCAGATTATTGGAAACTAATCGTCGTGTCGTCCATGTTATGAAATCAAACTTCTTATTGCTTCGTAGTGGGAAAAATTTTAATATAAAAACCATTGTACATAGGTGTATTTAATTTTTCGGATCTCTCTCTCTCTCTCTCTCTCTCTGCGTTCTGTTTTTTTAAACCAACAAAATCCTTGACCTTTTTTTCGTTCTTCTGTAAGTTCGTTTTACACGCTCGGTAATTAAGCAAGACATTTGACAAGACGTATTAAAATTGAAATAAAAGATATTGAAATTAATTTAAAATTACGAAATAAGATATTGAAATCTGTACGAAAAATTTGCTGAAATATCTCACAAAAACTTTAAGCTAAGTGTCTCGATTGTAAATACGCTACCTCTGAAATATACTTCCTCCCTTAAGTACAAATATCAAAAAAGAAAACAGAAAAAAAAGAGAGAATTTTGAAAAGTCACGTAAAGTATTAGACAAAAGCAATAATGAACAAGATGATTCAGAGTAACAAATGTCGAGTGTACGATGAAAAAGTGAAAGAAAATTGCCTAATCTACCTGGGTGGTTCGCTGCACGACAGAAATAATTGAATCAGCATATATCTAGGCGGGTACACGTTCCTCGCGTTCTTGTTATCTCGACGAGGCGCATCTTACAAA